CGGAGAGTAAATCGAGCCTGCGAGATCCCCGTCTCTCTCCTGTTTCGGCCGCATCCACAAGTCCCGCCGGATCCCCGGAGCGGGAACAAGGAATCGAGCGGCGGGCGGCAGACTACATGCTGTCCCGCTCCGTAGACCATCTGGAGCGTCCCACCCCGCTTCCCAGACATGGAGCCCTGCTCTGCTGCACCTCCGAATTGCAAATCAACCAAGGTGAAGAGATGTATCGCAAGGCTCGGCCCACTCTCGTTATTCCCGCCCACTACATGCGACTTCCAGGGACGCACCCTCTGTCGGGGCAGGCGCTGCTTTTGCAGTCGGACGAACAGAGTGAATTGGAAAGCATTCAGGCGGAGCTCAGCGCAAGTCATCAGCCCCAGTGCCAAGTCCCGCACACATGGGGCAAAGGGGAGCAAGAAGGAGGGGTACAAGGGGACAACCGAGGCGGAGGAGCGGAGGAGTGGACACTGCAGACGGCTGCTGTTCCTGGCGATCTCTCCATCCCCGACTCGCTCAGTCAAGCGGGCCTGGATGTAGTGCAGATGAACGGAGAAGATCAGCTTCTGGCTGAAAAGACTTTGATGGCGCTCAGGGGAGGAAAGCCACTCCCACACCCCAGAGCTTGGTTCGTGTCACTGGACGGCCGCTCCAACGCGCACATCCGCCATTCCTACATCGACCTGCAGAGGGCAGGATGCAACAGCAGTTGTGTCGGAAGCAATGACGCCAGTCTGGACTCTGGGGTTGATATGAGCGATGTCACACCGGGGCGGCGTGTTCGTGATAAAGTCAGGGTTAAAACTAAAGCTGCGGCTCAACCCACGGTGCCTGTTGAATGTACGCCACTTGTATTTGTAGAGGATTCGAATGCTAATGCAGAGAGCAGCGGGAGCCCCACACCAGTCTGCAGCCCAGAAGAACACTCTCTAGGGGGTTTATTGCAGGAAAAAGAGAGGGAGGAGGAAGACGAAGGGACTTTGTCACCCCAGACGCCTCCACCTGAGCTTCCTTCACCACCTCCTTTGCCTGATCCCGTGGTTGAGACAGCAGAGGAGACGGGGACTGATAGTGAGGTTTTTAGGACTGAGGAGACTCAAATGCACATGAGCAGCAGCCGGCCAGACAACCTTATGGTGCCTGACGAAGGCGGTGAAGATGACAACAAGAAAAGTCCTTGGCAAAAAAGAGAGGAGCGACCACTACTGGCCTTAAACCTAAAATGACACGTCTTTTAAAGGGATAGTTCACCCAAAAAAAGGAAAATTCATCATTTACTCTCACTCATGTTTTTCCAAATGTCTGTTTGTCCGTACAGTAAAAGTCGATGAAAACAGTTGAAACACTACTCAAAATAGTGTACTTTCTCCTGCGGAACATAAAAAGTGAAACATAACATGTTGAGGGTGAGTACAGTAAGTGACAGAAGTTTCGGTAACACTTTATTTTACAGTGTCCTTGTTACTTATGTTACATTTACTTACCATAGTAATAACAGTCAATTATGCATAATTACATGAAACTAACCTTCAACCAAACCCTAATCCTACCTTAAAGGAGAACTCCGGCGCAAAATGAACCTTTGGTCTAATTAATAACACATTGTTACCTAGTCAACCATTCTCTTAAGATTTGTTTTCATGATAATCGAATGTAAAGAGTTTTATCTCTATATATGGGGGCATATAATAAGTAAAAAGAAATAGCTAGTTAATACCACTAACAAGGCTCAAAATAGCCCGACACTAACACAGTAACATAATCAGGGTCCCTACATGCAAGTGTAGGAGCCATCATTGGAAAACAAGTCGAGACGTGGTTCAACTTATCGGGACCGTTTTCCAAAGATGGCTTCTGCCTGCATACACGAAGTGGACTGTTTTTTTAAAATATCTTTTCATTAAACAGTCTGTGCACTTATAAAGTTCTCAATGCTTCGTTTTGAGCCTTGTTAGTGGTATTAACTTGCGATTTCTTTTTACTTATTAAATGCCCCCATATGTATAGAGAGATAAAACTCTTTACATTTGATTATCATGAAAACAAATCTCAGAGAACGGTCGACTAGGAACCAACGTGTTATTAGACCAAAGGTTCATTTTGCGCCGGAGTTCACCTTTAACCCTATAGTAATTAATATTATTCAGTACTTGGATATATAATTACACTGTAACAATGACACCTTAAAATAAAGTGGAACCGAAGATTATTCTTTTCTTCTTTTTTGGTGAACTGTCCCTTTAAGTGGTCCCTTGCTGGACTGTTGAATGGAGTTGCCTTATGAGTGCAGGTCTGTGCGTGGCTATTTGCCTGTGGCAATGAAAGCCAAAAAGCCATAGCACAAATAATTATTGGAGCTGCTCTGCCTCATGACTGTTCAATGAGGAAGAACAAACTCAAGTTCCCAAGGAAAAACACCCTTAAATACCACCAGTCTATTGCACAAATGCTATGGCTTTCTAGACACACACTTTCAGCAAAAAATATTGCAAGCCATTGTAATGATGATTTAAATGTTGTTTAAGCTTTATGAGATGCTGCTGTTTTTGAGCAATATGACATCTAGTGGCAACATATGTACGCTGCAACTATACCACTAAGTGTTTCCCAGCACTTATTTTTGAACATTTTATGGGATGACCGGTGGAATGTCCTCCACATTCTAATGGGATATAACGCATAAAACCACTATAATGGGATCTGCAATCTAAATCTCACCCATTTTTATTTTTATTGATATCATGCGTTCATTCTTGAGTAGAATACAGCTGAAGCTTTGTGAAACCAAATAAGTTTACATAATGCACCATTTGTTCCAGTCATTTTGGCTTTGATGTTGAGCACAGGTTTTCAAATGTGTGTTTCTTTCGACTTTAGGATTACAGTAGTAATTTTGCCAACATTGCTAGTGGACTTCAGAGAAGCAGACTGAACTGTAAAATAAAATAAAACACTATGCATTGCTTTAAACTGAAGGATCTTGTAGCTAATAGATTCCTCTTTTTATTTTATTTTTTTAACCACATTATTTTAGTTCCAATGTATGTTGTTTTGTTATCATTATTTTGGTTTAGACTTGCCTTAGTGTGTGAGTGAAGTGGACGGCACATTCAGATGAGGGCTGGATTCAAACACTTACTCGCATAAACTGCCACCAGCTTTTCTTTCCCAAACTGTGCCTTTTTAGTTATCATTTATATCCATAATTAGATTTCTTTTTCCTCTCAACCATTATGAGTTTGTGTCATCTATATAATTTGATGTTTTTCAGAATATTTGAACAGTCCTTTGATCTCATTGTGTGTTAAGTGTTTTAATGTTGTATCTGGGTGTACAGTGGGGTCCAAAAGTCTGAAACCACACTGAAGATTTATTTTGACACAATTAAAACGATAAGCAGTGGACATATTTAAAATATTCAAATGCATTTTTGCAACTCGAGTGCTGCTGTCATTGAAGCAAAAAGTCGAGACTCAATACAACTTTACTCACCTTGTTATATTGACAGTATTTGTCATGAAAAAATACCATACATTTTGACGATACCAATTTTAATGAATAAAAACAAATGTTTAATAATTTTTACTAGTACTCTTGGACTGTTGGATGCCACTGTGTTCAGTGCATTTTATGAATCTGCTCTCTCCTTTTTTTTCTGCCTTGTATGTATGTACATATTCATTCACTCAGTTGATTACGCTCATGTGAGTGTGTTGCTCTATTTCTGTGTGTTGTCGACATACTGTGCGGTGTGTGTATGTACTGATGTAGGACTGAAAGCAATGTGTCATTTTTTGAAAGCTGTTGAAGGTCTGATATGTTACCAGGGTAACCACTTGGTAAGAATCCTTGGGTCACTCGGCTCTTCAGCAATCTTTGAATGTCTGGACTGGTTGCTTGTATTATAATTCAGGCCTATTATCCCAATAAAGCCAAAAAACAATTGAACATTGTTTTTCAACATATCTAATTCCGATGCAATACAATTAAACGCTAGAACCATCTAGGTCACGTTATGATGAATAAAGTGGCCCAACAACACCTGTGACAGATACTAGACTGACTGCACTGGATGATATTAAAGGTATATATATTTAAATGACTACACACACACACATACAGTACTGTTTAAAAGTTTGGAAACATTACAATTTCTCTTATCTTCACCAAAGCTGCTATTTAATCAAAAATACAGTAAAAACAGTATTACAATTTAAAATAACTGTTTTCTATGTTAACATACTTAAACATGTAATTTATTCCTGTGATGGCAAAGCTGAACTTTCATCAGCCATTACTCCAGTCTTTAGGGTCACATGATCCTTTGAGAAAAAAATAATTAAATTTATTAAAGAATTTAAAAAGGAAATCTTTTGTAACATACATTTCCCTCATAACATTATAGATGTATTCAATGTTTTTATCTTACCACAAATGTTTGCATGGTATCACAAAAATGTTTAGCAGCAATGTTACACTACTAACAACATTGCAAATAACCACTCACAACATTTATATTCAACTCACATTGAGTTAAATGTATTTCTTTTTTCATTTATGGCACACACCATTTTTTTAAATGGCATATTTTATCAATTTTAATTACAAGCTGTTGTTTTACTTAGCTTTTTACTTATATTATACATTTTGCATGGTTTTGCTGGTTTTTGGGTTAGGATATGTAATATTAGCCTATAATATAATATACAATATCACAAAAATAATGATGACATTCACGTTTTAATTCAGAGGCATTGCACCAACAAGCTGTCACTCACGTTCTTACAACTTCCTCCAAGCAGTATTCATAAAAAAATAATAATAATCATTAATATTATGGGTGAAAATGAATATGATAATAAATATTTAATACAATTAATGGACTCTAAAACGTGCATTTTAAAAATGCATAATATCACATTAGCCTGTCCTCGTCTCCATTTCCACTCTCACGAGCTGTTAGTGGCAGTAATCGGTAGACGGTGCTGTTTTCCTTGGTTTTTAATAAGTAGTTCTGTCGTGAGGATTTGCAGCAGATTCATCCATGATGGCGGAGGACAGCGAGTCCGCGGCCAGCCAGCAGAGCCTGGAGCTGGACGACCAGGACACCTGCGGCATCGACGGAGACAACGAGGAGGAAAATGAGCATATGCAGGGGTGAGCACGCGCTGGTGAGCCGCGAGGATTAGCCTCCGCAAGCCGTTACCGTTTAACTGCTACAGAGATGTAAACAAGCGGCTAGCTTAGCAACCTGGTATCCTGGAGCAGAATTACTGTATTTCAATTCAAACCAGTCTGCTAATATAATAGCTCGTTAGTTGTTTAATGGATCTATATCGCTATATAAAAACATTCAAAATAGCATAGATAAATATCAATATTTACTTTATGCAGCGTTTGAATCAAAGTAGTTAACGTTAGCTCTAGCTAGCTAGATATTAATGTCAGACAAGTCCTCCAGTATCTTCTTCACTATATTTCTGAACACATTCGTTAGTCTGTGTGGTTTTTAAGTCGCCAACGTTGTTCATTACACAATAGCAGTGGAAATCATGCGCCTGGTTTCATTAGTGTGTCTTGATCTCTGAACAATACGAACACGCTTGATCCTCTTTATGAGCTGAGCAGCAGCATTGCAGTCGAGCATCTTTGTCAGCTCAAGGACCGAGGATGATGATAACGGGTCTGTTGTTGTCAGGCAGTCTAACATCCTTCAGGAAGTCCCATAAAATTTGACCTGCTTTCATGAACAGACTGACACTTGTTTAGTTTTTTTTTTTTTCTCTCTGACACTCACCCTCCAGGCTATTGTTATAGCATACATCACACTTTCACTTGTCATGCTCGTCTTTGAATCTTAGAAACGGTTGTATGCATTGTTAGTAAGGTATTTCTGCCATTTGAAATGTGTTATTTTGTTAAGGAGTCCTGGGGGTGATCTCGGTGCAAAGAAGAAAAAGAAGAAACAGAAGAGAAAGAAGGAGAAGCCAAGCTCAGGAGGAACCAAGTCTGACTCTGCCTCTGATTCTCAGGAGATCAAGGTTTCTGCTTTGTATAATGCATTGACTTTGTAATGTTGTCAAAAGGTTGTTTTTATTAAAAATATAAATCTGATTTTACTCTATTCCTGTCACAGAACCCTGCCATTCCCATGCAGAAACTGCAGGACATTCAGAGAGCAATGGAGCTCCTGTCCACCTGTCAAGGTCCAGCCAAAAACATAGACGAGGCCACAAAGCACAAGTACCAGTTCTGGGACACTCAACCCGTGCCCAAACTCAGTGAGTCACATGTCACCTTTGCATGTGTTTGATTGCAACATTGCAAATGTAAGCAACTTGGCAAACTCAAAACAGAACAGAATCTTACATTAAGCCTTAAACAATGTTGTATTCAACAAAAAATTCAACTTGAACCTCAGCATCACGAATGTAAGCCGCAAGCACAAGATGTCTAGTTAAACAATCATTCAAAATTTGGTGTTGATAAGTTCTTTCTTCTTTAAAAAAAAAATAAATAAATAAAAAACTATTATCCTTACCAAGGCAGCTTTTATTTGATCAAAATATACAGGTTGTATTGTGGAATACTTCAATTTAAAATAATGTTTTATATTTGAATATATTGAAAAATTATGGTTTACCCCTGGTTTAATGATTAATTTAAAATTAAAATAATCAAATGAAAAACTTACTAATAAAGTTGAAATCATTTATTTGTTTACCTGCATGTAAAGGTGTGAATGTTTAACTTAAAAATCTCTGGGCGTACTTCAAGAAAATATTTTACGTCAAAGGGTAAGGCTGACAAAAAAATTGGAAATCCCTGCTTTATGTCATTATATTATTTCTACATGGATAAGCAACACTGAAAGACTTAGGCTGCATTTACACTGGCACAAAAATCAGATTTTCACGTTTCAGATGCCTGAAACGGCATTTGTTGCACATTTGTAAACACAAAAATCTGGCATATATGCAATATCTGGACATCTGACCTACGTCTAAACGCATATATCCGATTCCCCTTGGAATTCTAAGCCACTGCAAGGCGCGGGCAACACATTGGGACACAAAGATGGATTTTTAATGCCGTATTACGAAGCAGGCGTGCCTGTATGCGCTCACGTTAAAACTCACAGCTTTGAATTTATTAAAATAAATTTTAAAAAATCGTGCAGCACTACTAAAATAACAAAATTACCCTTATTTTGTCCATTCAGTCAAATTTCGCATTGCAAACATCCATGACAGCTTTTAACTTATCCAGTCTGGCTAATAATCATGGCCTGAATTGTAAAATTGGCCTGAACTATCAAATTTAATTACTTAAAATCTAAATTTAAAAATATAATTTTAGTCGGATCAACCATGTTGCATAGCAAAGCGATTACCAACAGAATAATTTTGGGCAGGAATTAATGTATGAAGAGTTCAGATGCAAAAGCCTCTAAATGCCATTTGAAATTTTCTTCTTTAATGATGTTTTTTTCAAACTTGTATATTTAAGTTCAGTAATTTCACTTAAATAATAATTAATAGGTAATTATCATTGCCATTTAAGTGAAATCACTGAACTTAAATATACAAGCTTGATAAAAATTATCATTCTAGAAGAAAATTTCAAATGGCACTTAGAGGCTTTTGCATCTGAACTCTTCGTATAAACGGTATCAACAGCCTTAAAGAGCTCCCTCTGTTTTTTGCAGATGAGGTGGTGACTTCTCATGGACCAATTGAGCCAGATAAAGAAAATATCAGACAAGAGCCATATTCCCTCCCACAGGGCTTTATGTGGGACACACTGGACCTTAGCAATGCTGAAGTGGTACGTGCATGTGTGAAATGACTGACTGAATGTCAGTGTATAAAGTGTTTTCATTGAGATATAAAATAGTCCTATGCATACAACATCATAATTGACCTTTTCTGCCTTGTAGCTAAAGGAATTATACACTTTGCTGAATGAAAATTATGTTGAGGATGATGACAACATGTTTAGATTTGACTATTCTCCTAACTTTCTGAAATGGTAAGTGATTGTTTGATGGTTTGCTTTATATTCTGCCCATCTGAGATGGTGTCTTTGATGTAATGCTTCGCTGCAAGTGTAATGTTGGTCTCGTTCACTGTAAGGGCGTTACGTCCGCCGGGTTGGCTGCCCCAGTGGCACTGTGGTGTCAGAGTCTCATCCAATAAGAAGCTAGTCGGGTTCATCAGTGCCATTCCTGCAGACATCCACATCTATGACACGTGAGTATGTTTTAAACCATTTCTGTTTGTAAATTCTGGGAGTTGTTCATTGTTCCAAACCACACTCGAGCGCTAATTCTCTTTGCATCCAAAGGTTGAAGAGGATGGTGGAGATTAACTTCCTGTGTGTGCATAAAAAATTGCGCTCAAAGCGTGTCGCTCCTGTACTAATCCGAGAGATCACGCGGCGGGTCAATTTAGAGGGAATTTTCCAAGCTGTGTACACTGCTGGTGTTGTTTTGCCCAAACCTGTTTCTACATGCAGGTACCAAATCCAGATGGATTGCTACAACACTTAATAATCCATTTATGTGAATTAATCTCATTTGAGTTATTAGAAGCACTTCTGTGAGATTGAACCTGTTTATATCTTTATCTGTACAGATACTGGCATCGCTCTCTCAACCCCAGGAAGCTTGTGGAGGTGAAGTTTTCCCACCTCAGCAGAAACATGACACTACAACGGACAATGAAGCTCTACAGATTACCTGATGTAAACTTTTTTTTTTTGACATTTCAAAGTAAAACTCCTGACCCTTATTCAAGAAGAACACTAATGGAAAATGCATCTAGAAATGAAACCCATATGCTTAAATGTTATTCTCTGATTTCGTTCTGTATTTTTTTTTAGAGCACTCGTACCCCTGGTTTGAGGTCGATGGGAGAGGGGGATTTGAAGCAGGTGACCGCATTGCTGCAGAAATACCTGAGCCGGTTCCACTTGGGCCCTGTCATGGGGGAAGAGGAAGTGAAGCATTGGTTCCTACCGCAGGAGAACATCATTGACACTTATGTAGTCGAGGTACCAGCTGGAACATTCATCTCTACGTGCTGTTCACAATTTAGCATTCTGTCTGCTTTAACTCCATATTCTTGTACTAACTCTGCTTCCTTCAAAGGGATCTGATGGGATGCTAACAGACTTCATCAGTTTTTACACCCTGCCATCTACAGTGATGCATCATCCACTGCACAAAAGTCTGAAGGCCGCATATTCCTTTTACAATGTCCATACAGAGACGCCGCTCATAGACCTGATGAATGATGCTCTTATCCTAGCCAAACTGGTATGATCACAACACGACGAAACCTCAGAACACAAATGAGTTTGTAAAGTTATTTGATTGTGTTCTTAATAATAATAATAATGGATGATTACTAATGATTTGTTGTTAAAATGTGTCTTCATATATTCTAATTCTTATTCCCTTTACTTTCCGGGATATTTCGGGGCAACAGAAAGGTTTTGATGTTTTTAATGCGCTGGATCTAATGGACAATAAGACTTTCTTGGAAAAGCTCAAGTTTGGGATTGGTGATGGTAACCTGCAGTATTACCTGTACAATTGGAAATGCCCTCCCATGGATCCAGAGAAAGTAAGATTGATATAGTTTTTTTGTTTTTTGTTTTTTTTGTTATTATTATATTTTAAAGAGTTCATTACTTTTTTATGTTTCTTGAGGTTTTCTTGTAATAATATTCAACAAATTAAATTTAATTAATTCAAAAATAGTTTAAAAAATAATTGCGGGAAGATTATTTTTAATCTCCTTTAAGGCTTGCCAGTAAATGGCCACTGTTATGATTGGCTAACGCCATTGCATAGGAATCAGTCCACTCACTATTGCATGTGAGTAAAAGTTTTGAAAACATTATATAAAACTAATTTACAGACAAAATTTAATCAAATATTTTACTTGCGGTTTGTCACAGCTGCTGTCATATCCAGTACAGTTGGCTGCTTCATCTTTCAACAAAAGTTTCTTTATGAACTCTGCATTACGGTGTGCCTTACAAAACATGGTCCTATGGTGCAATGATTTATAACAATTCGTCAATGTCTTGCTCTGGAGTTTGTATGCAAATTTATTTGCCCATGTGACACCAGATCCCACAAAATCAAAACAAGCCGTTTTTGGAGCTTTAATTTGTTTTCAATGAGGACGACGTTAACTTGCTGCATGTCTTAATAAAGTAGAGAGACCTCTTATGTCAAAAGATCAAGGCAAATTTGATTTCTTATATCATGAATCATTTAAATCCCAGCTTTGATGCTTCTTAACTATTTCTCCCACTTAATAAAACTGTATATCCGTATAATTATAATATACACAGAAACTACCTTGTAGATAAATGAAAAAAAAAATGTATTTCAGTGTTTTAGTGCTCCATCAGCATTTTAAGGAGATTAAAATAGCTTTATAAATGTTGAGAATACATGATGGTAATTAGTTGTCAGAAACATGGAGTGTGTTTTAATTGGCTTCTCCATCCTCCCCAGGTTGGCCTTGTTTTACAGTAACTGGCTGCTTCGCATTGGATGCTGATTCAGAGGTCCATCTCGAATTCTCAGACTTGGACGTAGTCTATATAAAGAGGAAAAACTGACATCCATTCAAAGTGAATGAGTTATGTTGTGCAGCTCTCTTAGGTCTTGTTCCAGTTACTGAGGGGTCTCCCCTCCTTTCTCTTTGTCTTTGACTCTCTTTCTGAGAATGTGAGAAACATTTATCAAGGTCAAACACATCCACAAGCTGTATACACAAACACACGCATACATGTAGTGTTCGTTTATTTTCCTTAACATACAATCTGTATCCTCTCGCAGAACATGTTTAATCCCATGGTTTTTGTCTTTTTGTTCATTTTTGTATCATGAAGGAGTGTTGATAGATTTGTGTGAATTAGCAAGCTGTACATTTAATGCCAGATATTTATTATGTGTTGTGAGGTTTACAACGGAACAGGAACGGGAGTCGAAATCCAAAGTCTTTTCTATGGAGCTGCCTTTGAAGTCATATACCGTTCGTATATGTTCCTGCTGTCTGTAGGAGGGGGGAGCGTAAATGGTTACACATGTGAAAGAATGTATTGCATTTCGAAGCACAACGTTAATTTGTTTATAAAACGGCCAGTTTGTTCTGAGGTGCATTTTTTTATTTAGGTTTTGTGTGTCCAAAAGAAACATTTAGAATTTTCAATGTGAATTTATTTACATTTCATTTTATGAAGGCATGATTGTCACATCTTTTGTAGCTTTTCCCGCACATTTCTGTTCTTTACCATCTAAGTGTTTTTAAATTATAATTTTAGTTAAACAATTCTGATATTTAGAATTGTATTTAAGCTACATGTTCCATTTTATTGTTGATTCTTTTTTTTATGCTGTCAGTATTCTTTGCAGTGAAACCATAACCTCATTCAAGTGGTGCATTTGCAATCAGGCCCTGGTAATTTTGCTATACTTAAGCACAAGGAGTTTTTGCTCACTGTTCAGTTACAATCACTGGTGGGACGTAATGAAATGTGAACAATATTATTACATTGCAGGAGTTGTTTTGTGTTGCTACAGCTTATTTTGTCATGGTTTGCTTTAATGTATCTAAAATCTACAATATGCTTTTAAACAAGCGCACGTTCAGACATGCTTAAAAGAAAGGTACTTCTCTCCAAGTCACACATTTTATCTGGTGGTTTCATTCAATAACATTCAGGGCACTTTTGTGTACGTTTTTTTTTTTTTTTTTTTTTAAGGCTTGCTGTATGAAATAAGCATGAAACTTCCTCCCCTGTATGGATTAAAACTTATGGGTTAAGGCGAGAACACCCAAAGTAATTGCCTTTTTTTCGGAGAGGTTGTTTTTTAAATGTCAAATTGTGTAGTTTTAAATGATCGGGTTTCTCTTTCTGAAGACAGTATTTTTATTGAACTTCATTGCAGGTTGGAACTAATGGGATTACGTACCAGCACCATGTCAAACATGACAGTCCACCCAAATAATTACTTGTCAAAAATATACATCAAGGTATACCAGCATGGATATTTGACTGAATAAAAGCATCCAAAAACAATCCACCTGGGTCTTTTCCCTCTCCATAACCATCACGTAAACTTTTGTAAATAACCAAACACTTAAAATGTGTCCAAACAACCTAAATAGTAATCATGCTAAACACTTGATAAGAACTATTGCTTTCCTTTCTTTTTCGGTTTTCTAATTTTTGTGGGATTCGGGATGGTTTTCCTCACTTTCAGAGGCTGGAGGATTAAAGAAGAGGCGTCACTGGCTTCATCCGATTTATCTTCCAATTTCCTCTTCAGTCCCTTTTCTGTATCGGAGTGGCTTTCTTTGGCTTTCGGTGTTAATTCCGACGGATTCCAATCTACGTTGAACGACGGAACCACGGGCGTGATCGCGCGGACCACATCCTCGAACGCTTCGGCGCCGCGTTTGAATCCCAGCGCCAGAACGCACTTGAGACCCAGCAGCCCCGAGAGACTGTCGCTCAGACCGGGCACCTGGCAGGCGGGCACCGACCTCGTATTACTCAGCGGGATTAAATGCAACGTCATGTGTTCTGGCCTGACCGAATCACACACGAGCACCAAACTCAGCTCATTCCTCTCCAAACCCTTGGTGACCTCGTTGATGCCAATTGCCAGTTGTTTCCTGACGGCCGGGTTGGTCCAGCACGGTTCGGTGGGCTTAGAGAGGGGTTGTAAATTCCCTGCGGGTTCAGGAGCAAGTTTTGTTTCCTCCGTGGGATTTGATGCATTTTTTCTTGACCTCCTTCTACTTCCCCACTCTCGAAACCTATTGACACGTTGTTTCTGAAGCCCAATAGCGGATATTTTGTCTTTCAGCGTGTTAAGTATGAAACTCTTGTCTCTCTTTTCCCCCAGAGGTCTCCAGCTTGGTCTGTATGGGCTAATCAGAGATGTTTTCACTGGAATAGGCTTCTTTTTTTCTTTCTTCATTGCCCCTTTCGCTGGGGTAGACATTATTTCTGGAAACCTGAGCTTTTAAGCAAAATTCAGCATCAATAATCATTAAACGTAGAGGCCTGCAAAATTACCACAATAAAACTTGTTATTTAGTATTTCATATGGACCACTACATATAATTATCATGTTATACAAACCTAAGAAAAGCCAGAAATTAATATTTCGCGGGTTAAAGGGAGGTTCACTTTCACAGCATGCACACTGCTAGTGCTCTGCGCGCAGACATGTTGTTTTCAAAGGTCTTTTTCTGTGGTGTCGCACAACGAATGGTTCAACGTTCAGGCTGCCATCTAGCGATGGACTTTCTGCAACGACAGAGCGGGGCTTTTTTCATAGACTTCAATTTACTAATATAACTTGCCAGGTCAAATTGTTATTTATTAATTATTGATATTAATAATAAACATAACTATTGTAACCGGTTGGCCAATTATGTCATTTAAAAAAAAAGAAAAAAAAGAATGTGATTTTAATGTATTCTTATTAGAAACAAATTTAAGGGAATACTATTTAAACAATTTGTCATAGAACTTACTCTGCAACACAATAGAATAGAAACTATGTAAGGAATGATCATTTTGTTTGTTTTTTAACAAGACAATTGTTCATGCCCAAACTTCAAAGACAACCAAGAAGTGTCTTAAGAACAAGTCCATCAGGCTCATCAGGTGTGGTCACTAGTCAGAGTCCAGATTTGAACCTTTTAGTGAATATTTGGTCTCACATTAAACTCAAACAAACCGGGCGACATTTTTCAACTACTCATGTTTGAAGTCATTAACTTTTAGTGGAACAAGACTTCTTCCTGTAAACCTGTCTGCAAGACGGGGAAGGCTATTCCATGATAAGCTACTTTATCTACAGTATTTGTGAAAATCTTTTTAATTTCCTTACCATTGATTTGTGGTTAAGAACATTAATATATATATATATATATATATATATATATATATATTTTATCTAAAGTAGGATACTGAACCTGCAAACTGAGACCTCTCAAATGTCTGTTAAAGAGCAGATCATCTGGAAAGCACAAACATCTGATAAACATCAGGTAAGTTTTCATAAACATCTTTTGAATGTCCATTTAACATCTGACAGTAAATGTCTAAGAGACGTATTGCAGATGAGCAAACACTCGAAAAATACATCTTGCAGAGATGTAGGATACTTGTTCTATCAGGGTGGTGGTCAATTCATATTTTTTTCCATTAATAGGCCTATGCTTTTCCGGTAAACTCTGGATTTGATGTTACGCAAAGCTACATGTGGGACATCTTAAGGCACAATGCTTTCACGAGAGAAATGGGGGAAAAAAATTAGGTTTCACCTTTGGAGAGAGGCTGCTTAATGCAGAGCCATGGGTGGAGTGTGAAGTCCAGCTCCCCCTCCATGAATGTAATTTGGGTGTAATGAGTGGAGCTAGAAAAAACAAACACACCCTAACCCTACTAAGAACTCAATCCCTCCACCCATTAGATCCACAGAGGTGGAGCCGGACTGGGTCAACCTCAACCCATGACATCCAGATAGGTGAAGCTAGACGTCATTTGGCTCTGCAGTAAGAACCACTGCCGTTCCATCAGCCAATCAGCGCTCAGCTTCACTGGAGCTCCGCGAGGTGTCTCTGTCATCGTAAACTATTCATACATCTTCAGATTCTGTACTACCTGACGCGCCCAGCCACAAGATACTCGTCTAAGAAAATGACTTTGAAGGTAGCCTATAACTGCACTGTTTTCGTGATTTCAAGCCCTTTGGGTATTCCTAAGTCAGCACCTGTTATATAGGTAGCAAGTTAAAGATTACAAACACTGTATTGCTATAATGCTGTAGAAAAGCTAATGTTATTTTCATCGTGTTTTTATCTGCAGCGCATTGATGTGCGCTTGCCGCTAGGTAATGTATTACGTCGCTCTTCATGTATTACAAAGTTGCGCGATGAAGCCTAGACTCACAAACTATTTTTCCTTTTGAAAGTCTTGGAATTGATATATAATATTTCAAGTGGCAACCGATAGCCTGTATGTTTAAATGGACACAAAGATCATTCATGTTGGAAAGCACTGTTGTGTGATACCAAAAAGTAGGCTGCATAGCTAAAGTCTGGGAATAATGCATGGTGCATGCATAGAGATTAAGATTATGACTACTATGTAATGTCTATTTTCAAGTATAAAAAGATGAGCATTAGAGCTTGATTATATTATTATAGTTAAGTAGCTATAGTTATATAATAGTTATATAGTTATATAAAAATAATTAAGTCATGATGTCTGTGGCTATAGGCTGAATTTGAGCAATATGCAGAGGATATAAAGAGAGTGAAGACCAGACCTACAGACAAGGAGCTGGGAGATTTGTACGGCCTCTACAAACAAGCTAATGTGGGGGACATTAATTTTGGTATGGTACAAATATGTTGTTGTTTTTTTAAATTATTTTTGTTAATTAAACTATGAGCTTGACAGTTATCTAATAATTACAAATGTAAATGATCTGTGTTGTGCAGATAGACCTGGATTTTTCGAATTAACAGCGAAAGCCAAATGGGATGCATGGAATTCAAGGAAAGGTAAGTAATATAGATCCTGCTTTTTTCCAATCAACATTTTCATTATTTTCTAGCAGTAAATGAGATAGTTCACCCAAAAATGAAAATTAGCCCATGATTTACTCACCCTCAAGTCATCCTAGGTGCATACGACATTCTTCTTTCAGACGAATATGATCGCGTTATATTAAAAAATATCCTGCCTCTTCCAAGTTTTATAATGGCAGTGAATAGCCGTTTCTGTTTTGAAGTCCATCAAAGTGCATCTATCCATCATAAAAGTGCTCCACACTGTTCCGGGGTGCTTCTGACGTGAAGCGATTAGTTTGTGTAAGAAAAGTATTCATATTTAACACTATACAAATGAAGATTATAGCTTCCGGCCAAACGGCAATATGCAGTATAGCCTACTTGTGCCTAAAGCACAACTTAAACAATGTATGATGTCGGAAGTAGTGTAGTGCTTCATGGCGTTTGAATATGGATAGACCTCCGCTTTGTTTTAGATAGATGAATAGTTAGTGAAATGCCTTTTGCTAGATAACACCACATGTCGTCTAAATGCAGTCAATGCAACATTATCATGGTATGAGCATGGAGCATTAGTTCAACGTCAAGCTGATAAAAGTAGCCTATTATTGTAACGTTGCAGTGGGAGTTTACATGAGTTTCCAGCATGATGTGTGATGCTTTCTCCGTTGTGTTGAAAGCCTCAGTGTGGCCGGTAGTGAGTGCCCGCTCTTGAGTTCGAGCACGGTCACTGAATGTGAAACATCAAACTACATATGAAGAGTTCAGATGCAAAAGCCTCTAAATGCCATTTGAAATTTTCTTCTTTAATGATGATTTTTATCAAACTTGTATATTTAAGTTCAGTAATTTCACTTAAATGGCAATGATAATTACCTATTAATTGTTATTTAAGTGAAATTACTGAACTTAAATATACAGGTTTCATAAAAATCATCATTAAAGAAGAAAATTTCAAATGGCATTTAGAGGCTTTTGCATCTGAACTCTTCATATATCACCTCCTCAATCGGTCCTTGGGGTCAATATGACCCCAATCGACTTTTCCTTAATAAAAAAAAATGGTTTCCTTTATCTGAGTGGAATAAGATTTTGTGACTTTTCCTACATAATCTATCTATACACACACAAAGATTTCATATGCAAGTTTATGGTGTGGTTGAGGAATTGTGTTGTAAATAGGTACAAAAGTACTTCTTATCTCCCAAAACACAGCATTAATGAATAGATGAGAAGTAAACAAAAAAAAAACATATATTATTTGTATTATTAAAAATGTATAGTTTTTGTACAATTTCTCTATCAATTGTTGGGGTCATATTGACCCCAATGACCAGATTTGTAAACAGGAAACGAAGACCTTTTGAGGGTTAAGTGGAATCCGTATGTTTGTTTGGCCGGAAGCTATAGTTATTTTACTTTAAAGGGACATTGTGTAGGAATTGCTGCCATCTAGCGGTGAAAATGTATTTTGCATTCAAACGAATTGTGCTCTCCAGCGCTCAAATGAGCGTTGCATCTACGGTAACCATTATGTACCAAAAAGCTATGACAGGATTAGCACTTCGTTGATTGTTCCTTCGGGTGAACAGGTTTGTTATTTCAAACAACCAACCTGACACAACGAATAAACAAATGTTACAGTATGAATTACTGACTGTGAAAAACATGAACTATTGCCTTCTATATTCATTATATTTTCTGAAGTAGCCTACGTGCATTAGATATCATCATCAACTTTTAACTATAAATGTTCATCTGTCTATATAATAAAGTACACAACCAAACAATAAAAAAACCTTGTAATTCAGACTGTAACATTGATTTACCTGTCGAGAAGAAAGCTTGTCTCTTTTTAACTTTTTCTCCTGCGTTAGTTCCATCCACCTGGAAATAGCTATCCTGTGGAAATGTGTTGGCCTAGTACTTTTTGTCTCTCTCTGCTATTATAGTTTTTCAAGATGGCGGAACTACATGGAAGCCTCTGTGGACTTACCCATCCCATGTATATAAAGATAATAAATTCTTCGTTTACGAGGATAAGTCGTGATAATTGGCAGAGGTATTACACCATTGAGGACCTTTTTTTTAATAAAAATATTGATTTTAAATAATAAATTACATATAAAGTTACACATAGTCCCTTTAAGTTTTAAATATAGATATTTTTTCTTACACAAATGCATGGCTTCGCTTCAGAAGGCCTTATAGCCCCCCAGGGCCATGTGGAGCACTTTTATGATGGATAGATGCACTTTTATGGACTTCAAAACAGAAAGAAGGTTGTTTTGCAAAAGACAGAATGTTATAGGCCTACTTTGCACAGTTTGCTCAGTAATCACATACACTCCACTTGTCTGTAAATGTAAATTGTATTCAGATTCTTACCAAGTAGCTAAGGTTATATCTGAGACCCTTCAAGTGTTTCTGATGATGGCTTGATATATAGTCTTCACTCTTTTCTCTAACAGGAATGTCACAAGAAGATGCCATGAATGCCTATATTTCTGTGGCCAAGGATGTCATTGAAAAGTATGGAATGTGATGGAGAAAATCATCTCTTTAATTTTACCTAGATATAAAAGTTTAACTATTAAAAAGTTGCATGATTGAAACAATAAGCTAGTTTTTTATTGAATCTGTTTTTCTTGTGTAATATAGATTAACAGATAATTCACCTGTTATCATAGTGATCACCTGATAATATCTCATTGCCAATCAGAGTGACCTGAAGATGTAAGCATATAATCTTGACTCATCTTGCAAAAATAGTCATTATATAAAGCTGTCAAATCTCATGGTAATGTTGTCCTCTTTATTTTCAATATCCTTACAAAATCTTTTCATGTATTGCTTCATTAGTATTAAGCTAAGTAACTCAGGCTCGAGGACTAGTTCCTCGAGGACAAAGACTTTGTCTGTGCTTCAGTGCACTGAGAGGACAAAGATCGCAAAACCCCGTTTGGATCGAATGCCGAATGCAAAGCCAGGCCTTTTGTACAGTGTTGCAGGAAAATAAGCACGAATGCCAGAAAACTCTTGAGTGAATCGAACAGAAGTGTTTGCAAAAACAAACAAACAATACTTTAAGTATCTGTCATTTGAATTACCTAATCCAACCATCTTTTTTTTTTTTTTTTTTACAATCCCTTATTTATATCTCAATCAGTGATGTGAAATTACATTTTTGTCTGGGTCATTTAAGTTTTTATTACATGAAAAATATGTCAAACAATTTTAATTTTAAAGTTGGTACCTAAATTTAAAATTGTCCAGAGATTATAAGAACAACACAAAACAATTTTATTTTAATAACAAAGCATTCTAATTTTACATTTAATTATGAAAATATAGAAAATAAATATGAAAATATATTTAGGTCAAATTAGTGAGTGATATTTGATTTGATGAAAGAATGAATGGATGGATAAAAAAAATTTTTTTTAAATAATGACTTGTGTGCGTTTTTTCCCATTTATAACGCAATTATATCAAAATGTTCGTATAAATTTTTCAAAAACGTCCGAAAACATTTTTTATGAAGCTAAATATTTACACAACCTATCATTCATTCCTTCGGCGAGACGTTCCTGCAGAACCTGTATTTTGAAATATGTTCAGGCGGTTGGACATGTTGGTTGAGTCTTGACTTCACATCTAGTAATTAGGGCAAAGGTAAACGGGAACGATTCTTGGTCTAGAGTTGAATGAACACATCAAGCCTCTTCATAAAAATATCAAGACTCTCCGTTTTACCCGTGCAGCTTCACATCCGTTTCTGAATTAATAAATTATAACTTACTTACTGAGGTAAGTCACATTCGATAATGTTTCCGTTGGCATTAGTTATGTGTATTTATCATGACCTACATTATGTAGTAAAGGCTATGTATTCAACTTATGCCTGATGAAGTGATTTCGGTGATTTAACTTAACCATGCATTAACTTACTGCATTAGCCTAAATCCTGATTGAATCCTGCATTAAAAGCCACTGCGTCAATTGCACGTCTCTAGAGGGAGATTTTGCACACAAACAGATTTTGCAGAAGAGTGTTTGTAATATGATATGATTGGGCATGTTGCCAAATTATGACAATGAGCATTTCTGACTATTGATCTGATTTGATTCGCAGTTGTAATAATCAGTCGAGTAATAATGGATAATCAGATGTTCGAGTCCACTGCAGAACGGACATTTCAGTTTCAGAGCAGCCTCCCTCCTCTACCTGTGCCCTCTCTACAGGACACACTCAACAAATACCTGGATGCAGGTGAGCGCTCGTTCAACACCTGCATTCTCATCTGCTGGATATTAGATGTAATTACATGGGCACAGGATGGATATCAAACTTTTTCATTTCACTGAGTTTGAGGGGTCTAACGGTTGTCTTTTAAGGTGCATACTCTGTCTTGATGTCATGACATGTTAACATATTAAATAGTAAATGTATTGGAGACATGACCAGAGCTGTTTAAATTCCGTTATGATGGCTGTCTTAATGTTGTTGTAAACGATTCCATTTTTCCCCTGCTAATTTAAATAAAGCTAGTATAAAATCGAATATAAATATTAGAGGAAAAGTACTAAAATCACTGAAACTAAAAGGAAATACAAATTAAAGTATATAAACATTAAATTGTATTAAATTAAATTACTAAAAACTAAAATTATGAAAAGCGAAAACATAAAATTTAAAGACAATTCAAATAATATAGTATATAAATAATACTAAGATAACACTGGTTTGTGTCCAAATTCCATTAAAAAGGAAACAAAAGGGACGCATAATTTGTATATAAACTACCATAATGTGTATGTGTAATATTTAAAAGATGTATTATTATGATTATTTTGTCTTATACATGAACACATTGTCAGTCAGATGTGTGACCAGAGAAAAAACAGAGCCGTGTTTTGAAATAAAATACATTGATTCCCATTATAAAACTGTACATTTCAAAGTATTGTTTCATTAAATGAATCATTAAATATACATATTTAAAATTAATTAGCATAAATAATAAATTGTTAGTTTATGTTATGCACTTTTTTTATTGCTTTATCAACTAAATAATTCTATACTTTTTTGAAACCTTTCTTGGTAATTTGTAAAAATATGTTCACCTAGGTGGGAAAAATGCAGACTTAAACTAGATATTATTATTATTATTTCTCCAGTAAAACCTTTTGCATCTGATGAGGAGTTTGGAGCCACAAAGGGCATTGTGAAACGTTTTGAGGAGGGTATCGGACAACAGCTGCACCACAAGCTTCTGCAAAGAGCTAAGAGCAGGCGCAACTGGGTACACACATTTTTTAGATTGCTCTGTTTGAGCCACACTAATGAATCACTTAGCCTACAGAACTAATACATGACATGTATTTTCATGTTTGTAGCTTATAGATTTATTTTAACCTGGTGATTTTTTTTCTCCTTCAGCTCGAGGACTGGTGGCTAGACACAGCATATCTAGAGGTGCGCATCCCCTCTCAGCTGAATGTGAATTTTGGGGGACCTGCAGCCTACCTGGAGCACTACTGGCCTCCATGTGAGGGTACACAGCTGGAGAGGGCCAGCATAAATTTGTGGTTCATCCTCCAGTACTGGGACCTTATCCGCACGTATGTGATCACTTATGTAAACAAAGATACTGCCGATGTAGAAGTTGATTTTCAAAAGTGTCTAATCTCTGTATATTTCTGATTGTGAATGGCTTGTTTTTGTCTGCATCATGGAAGTAAAATGCATATTTGTTTGTATTTGCCGGTATCGATCAGAGAGAAGCTGGCTGTTCATAAAGCAGGAACGAAACCCTTTGACATGGATCAGTTCCGGATGCTCTTCTGCACCTGCAAAGTGCCTGGCATCACTAAAGACACCATCCTTAACTTCTTCAAAACAGGTCAGGCATATGCATGCTTATTTGCATGGATACATGTGTCCATCCGTTTGTTACATGAAGCTGCATGTGTGATCTCTGTTTGTTGTAGAGAGTGAAGGACCCTGCCCTTCTCACATGACAGTGATGTGTCGTGGGAGGGTGTTCACATTTGATGCTCTTTGTGATGGCCGTATCCTCACCCCTCCAGAGCTGTTGAGGTATGGAGCCAAGCATCCTAGTCATCATTGATTCAGGAGGTTGTTTTTCTGTGTAATCTGTCTTAATATACACTCAACTAAAGGATTTTTAGGAACACCTGTTCAATTTGTCATTAATGCAACTATCAAATCTACCAATCACATGGCAGTTGCTTAATTGCATTTAGGGGTGTGGTCCTGGTCAAGACAATCTCCTGAACTCCAAACTGAATGTCAGAATGGGAAAGAAAGGTGATTTAAGCAATTTTGAGCGTGGTATGGTTGTTGGTGTCAGACGGGCCAGTCTGAGTATTTCACAATCTGCTCAGTTACTGGGATTTTCACTCACAACCATTTCTAGGGTTTACAAAAAATGGGCGAAAATGCCTTGTTGATGTTAGAGGTCAGAGGAGAATGGGCGACTGATTCAAGCTGATAGAAGAGCTACTTATCTGACTGAAATAACCACTCGTTACAACCGAGGTATGCAGCAAAGCATTTGTGAAGCCACAACACGCACAACCTTGAGGCGGATGGGCTACAACAGCAGAAGACCCCACCAGGTACCACTCAGTCTTGATTTCTGTTGAGACATTCAGATGGTAGAGTCAGAATTTGGCGTAAACAGAATGAGAACATGGATCCATCATGTCTTGTTACCACTGTGCAGGCTGGTGGTGGTGGTGTAATGGTGTGGGGATGTGTTCTTGGCACACTTTAGGCCCCTTAATCTCAATTGGGCATCGTTTAAATGCCAAGGCCTACCTAAGCATTGTTTCTGACCATGTCCATCCCTTTATAGCCACCATGTACCCATCCTCTAATGGCTACTTCCAGCAGGATAATGCACCATATCACAAAGCTTGAATCATTTCATATAGGTTTCTTGATCATGACATTGAGTTCACTGTACTAAAATGGCCCCCACAGTCACCAGATCTCAACCTAATAGAGCAGCTTTAGGATGTGGTGCCCTGGATGTGCATCCCACAAAACTCCATCAACTGCAAAATGCTATCCTATCAATATGGGCCAACATTTCTAAAGAAAGCTTTCAACACCTTATTGAATCAATGACACGTAGAAAGGCAGTTCTGAAGGCGAAAGGGGGTCAAACACAGTATTAGTATGGTGTTCCTAATGATCCTTTAGGTGAGTGTATATTTTAAAAACAATTGTAATGATATTTCCTGAATTACCTGTTTTTAAAGTATTTTCATTGATCAAAAAATGCAGCTTTGGTGAGCCTTACCGTTCCCAAACTTTTGAACGACAGTGTAGTTGGTCGCCCATCGTATTTTAAGCATACTATAAATAAACTGCTGAAGTAGTGTGCTATGCCATATGTAGGCACCTCACTAACATTAAAGAATGCTGTGATGGAGAGCCTGAGGGGGACGGAGTGAGCGCTCTCACCACTGAGGAAAGGACCCGCTGGGCAAAGGTAAAGCCACCAGAACCAATCACAGTACAGTAGACAAATGAACTTCCAGTAACAGTTTCTAAATCTCTGCTGAAATCTACAAGAAGATCCCAGGCTTATCATTATTTCCCTTGGCTGTCTCTTCAGGCTCGGGAGTACCTGATCTCCATTGATCCTGTGAATAAGACCATACTAGAAACCATTCAGAGTTCTTTATTTGTGCTAGCACTAGATGATGCCAAGCCCCATGCCACCCCTGAAAACTACTCGCAGGTTGAGCACAATACATACATAAA